TGCTTTAGTCTACTGATTAAATGTTACCGTAATACCTAAAAAGATTTCCATCTCCGATAATTGTCTTCCTATTTCAGATAGTCTTTGCTCTTCAACTTCGGCGATTCTTGACAATGTAAACTCTTTTCCTCTCAAAGCTTCTTTGAGCCCTGAATCAAAAGAATAACGTTATTGTTACATGTAGGTCGTAACGACAACAACCGACAGAACCCACTACTTCCCGCTCAACAGACTGATAATCAACCGACCCAATCAAGCGGCACACAAACCCTTAGGCCTAGGGCAAACGTCGAACTTTCCATGCACCGAACTCATTAAAAACAATGGATATCAGGTGATAATGAGGCGGCATTCTTCCATGTAACTGATTGCATGGAAAGTTCGACGTTTGCCCTAGGCCTTATTCGGTTAAAAAAAAAAGGTTGTCGAACCCAAAAACTGCCAAAGGAAACAGGCGATAAGCTATGAGTCATTTACCGAAAGGAAATCACTGAGTGAGATAAAATAGAAGAAAAACCAGACTTACCTTCGATATTTCCTATAGAAATTTCTAGTTCTGTAAGAGGTCGTCCTACTCGTATTTGTATCTGTGTTACATCCATTGGTTTGCTGACCTCTTCAGGGAAATCTCGTCCACAGCAAACTGAGTGCCTGCGCTGTCTTTTAGTATCGGTTTTCACTGAATTACCTTGTCATACGTATTTGGCAATACATTAGAAAAGAATTGATGGAAGAGCATTCAAGCCATTCAAACTTAAGGCCCTGTTACACATTGAACTTTTAGCCAAAACTTGTGTGCAACGTATGTTGCGAGACAAGTTTCACGGGGGTGTAACACGGTACAATTTAGGCTTTGTGAAAATTTCGTCGCGAGAACTGAAGTTTCACGAAAAGTAGAACTGCTTTCTACTCGTGAAAACCGAAACCTGTTTCGCGAACAAGTTTCAGGACGAAATTACACCGTGTAACACCCACTTGAAACTTCACTTGAAACTTGTCTCGCAACGCTATTGCACGCAAGTTTCAGCTAAAAGTTTCAACTTGCAACAAGGCCTTAGATACATACAGTCGAACCTCATATATTGATACCCACATATATTTTAATTATGACAAACTAACAAAGCAACCAATAAAAATAATACGATCGATATTTTGTGAAAAATGTGTCCTACCTTTCGCCTTTAAGAGGACGAGATCCCAGAGAACTTCCCGGTACTCTTCCTCGTCTATTGTAACCTCCACATCAATCTCTTCTCCATGGCTCACTTCCTTCAATTCTTTCATCTCATTGAAGGTTTTCTTCATTTTTTCTTTCAACGAGCCATCCTTGTAGCTTTGCCATAACCGTTTTAGTGATGAAATACTTGAAACTTTTAAGACAAAAACAACCGAGCCTCTAAAGATTGCAACCAGTTGAGTCCCGTATTCCACAAATGGTTGAAGATCTTTCAGTTTTTCGGGATTCGTCCCATACACATATATGAGAGTTGCACCTGCTAAGGCTACTTGAACTCCTTTTATTGACAACACAGTTTTCAAATATATGGCTGCAAAAAACCGTAAACACAGTTATACGTTTAGGTAACGTATGTATATATTTTAAAAGATATACGTAATATTTTAAAGCAAGAGAAAATAATGTAAAATCATGAGCACTCTTTGATGCTATTTTTAGAATCATCAAAGCTAGTTACAAGTATGAATACTAGAGATTCCTTCTCTTAGTTTATTTTCTCTTGTTTAGACTTTATTATTTTTTACTATTATTTGTCTTTGCGTGTTTGTGAGCATTTCGAAGCAAAAAAAACATCACAACTTAAAAGTTCTATACCCTCTTTATTGTTAGTCTTTAGAATTATACTGAACTAACCTGAGGTACATACTCCTCCTGTTAAAATAAACAAAAGATACATTACTATATACAGTGATGTTGTACCTGTATACAGCTATTTAAAAAAAGGTTGAATACTAAATACTGCATACTGAATAGTGCATCCAAAAAGTGCATTGTGAGTCATATTGACATTGTCTAAGGTAGGATTAATAATAATAATTTATTCTATTTTTAGTGTATTTCATCTGAAACAATATACTAACTACATGTATTGCTGTATATTTACTTTTAATTTAAGTGACACAATGCCCCTTGGCCTTGGAATGCATTATTCATTACGGGGTATTCAGTATTCAACCCTGTTTTGAAATAGCTGTAAAGTAGACATTTATAGAACCTAATGCCTGCATGGTATCCAAGTAATAATTCCTTTTTTATTTAACGGTCGTGCATGAGAAGACACAAGAATATGGATATCATTCAAACAAAGAATCATATGCTCTGGGGATTGACACATGGTCTGAAATGGGAAAACTTTGGGTAAGAATATTTTAATCTGGGGACTGGAGCCCATGGAGTCCGTCAAATCAAGGTTCAAAGCATATTTGGGGGGTTCTCCCCAGTGCCCTCAATTTTTCTAAAAAAGCTTCTTGAAATAATTAAAACTCACCTTTAAACTTTTGCCACACAAAACCTATGGAAAGAACAAAACAAAACAAAACAACTCTTTAAAAATCATGATCTCATCATATGAATAAATGATTATGATAATTAAACTGAATATGGTCTCCGACATGATCTCCTGAACTTGTGGAGTGCAATAGATATTACACAACACAAAGTTCAATTAAGCTTAGCAAGTCAAGTTATGGGAAGAGGGAGAGGTGGGGGACGTTTTTTAGTCATGGCAAAAAATGGGGGTATGGTTTTTGTTTTGAGATACATTAGTTAAGCTTTCAGAAAAATAAAGAAATAATTTTAAGAAACTTCATAGCTGTGTTTGATTGCAACAATATTTGGGCCTTTTTGTTGCTGGAGAAAAACATGTGTTGACTTTCTTCTAGTAGTAAATCATGTTCACTTCATCATATCACCTTGAACACAAAATTTAAACCATCAAACTAGAAATAATAAAAAAATGTGACTCATAGGGCTAGTAATCAATAATGCAACATAATCAAAACAACTCACCTGGAGCTCTTCCTGCAACTATTAAAATTACAAAGACATTTATTAATATTTTAATTAAGGTAAAATATTAGCATAATATGAAGAACAAATTTTATAAAGGAATAAATTATTTTAAAATTACCATTGACTGCTTTCTGGAATATTCCTGAAATAATATAATATGAAAATATATATTAGTTAAATGACATGCATATACTTGGTGCAACAGTCATGTTAAAATGATATTGCCATCAATATCTTCATGCGCACGTAGTGAGGATATGAAAAATGTCACTGGTACGTTCCAAATGCAGTTCGTATTAAGAATACGAGTAACATTTCCTCCTTGTGTCTATATGTTAAATATAGTAGTGCAACAAGATTCATTCTAGGAATCAAATGATCAGATGAAATATCATATCAGTAACGTTTGCTCAGATTAGACCTTTTGCCATTAGTCTATCATATTGGCACGAAATTAAAGACCTCCACTTTTTTTTTTACAAATATCGTTCCGGCCACTATAGTTTTCCTATAAATTCGTACGTTATCCCAAAGTCAAACCGACTCACTCGCCACAGCTCTGTGCATGATCTTTTAATTCCTAAGTGCCGTACTATATAAGCTTTGTCAATCTAGCTATTTTAACTTTCTCAAAAAACTTTGGAATAATAACCGCCGCTAACTTTAACCAATTTAAATCTGGCCTAATAAATTATCATTCTACAGCGCTCTCTAACACTTATGATATAAATAACTTTAATACTTGGAAGTCTGTGTGCACTAAGTGCTCCTCATGTTCTAACCTAACTGCTGCTACTAACTTCTAATGGCGGTACTTGGTTTATTATATATATTATATATAGAGTATAGATTTTAATAGTACATATTTTAAGTGTTTTTTATGTAGTGTTTAAAAAACGAGTAGGAGTGTTTTATTAGGTAAAAAAGCACGAGGCGTAGCTGAGTGCTTTTATACCTGATAAAACACGATCTAGCTTTGCGTGACGACACTGAAAGCGGCTGTGGGGGAGACTAGTGTCGTCATTTACTTTAATTCTATTCCCTTAAGAATATTGTAGTTTGAAAACAAGAATGCCTTTCTGGAGTCGAATATCCTAGCTTATAAAAATATTCAGGCTTATCATTAAGAAGGTGTTAAATTAGAGTGGTTTTCGAAAACCCGTGAAACAAAGTTTACGTGTATTTCACGATAAGCAATTACCTGAACACTTCGTTTCGAATTCCTCAACTTTGTGCTTCAGTTTTGGTAATTCAAGCTCCTCAGCTAACATTTTTAAAAACTCCACATTGTTATCTCCTATAACACCTTGTTTTTCCAAGGTATCCACAAGTTTTTTTACAGTTCTGACTCTTCTTCGTTCTTCTTCAGGGAGAGTTCGACGTAAGCGTTCTTTAAGTTCAGCCAGAGTGCCTCTTCCGCTATTAATATAATCATCAAGGCAAATGATAGTTTTGACCCTAAGCTGGTCATACAAGAAGCACACTTTCGGATCTTTAAGTTCCATGGCTACAAATCAAATGGTTTTAATACGGCGGCCGACTTTCAAATTTCGATTTTCATGCCCCATGTCGTTCCACACTTAACTTAGATCCCGGAAATTACAAGAAGACCATGACATGGTTCATTAAAGGCACAGGAAACCCAGCCAGGCTATCCACTTTTATATAAGATGTATTTGTAAATAGATTTTGCTAAAATTTTGTAGGTTTCGCTAAGATTTTAAAAATAAAAGTGTACTTTTGAAACGAGTGTACTTTACCGTCTTGTCTTTAAAATTGTCGACATCAGGAGTTTTGTTTAGCGATTTTAGGGTACGTTTTTTATTATTGGTGGTGGTGGTGGTAATCACAATACACTGTAAACTTTTTGAAAATGGGTGTTGTAGAAAATATTCATGCCTTTCATCGATATTAACTATGCTTTCATCAATCTATATTTATTGGGTCCTTCATGAAACTCGCATTCAATACATACATCTATTTCCTAATCAGATTAAACGAAGATTCATTATCTCTCATGTCGTTATTATGCCACAAGATAGAAATTCTCGAAAGTATGCTGTGTTGATGAGTCGATGTGTCGTGTATCCATGTGCGGTTCACTATAAATACAATCAAAGAGATTCTTAGAATCAATCTGTGTGATCTAATACAAACTATAATAGACTTACCGAATGTGTCCCTATCGAATCCAAAAGAAAAACTCAATAACAATCTCCAATATTCTTCTTAATAACTAAATTTCATAACTAAAGTTCACGTGCTGTGTTAACTATCTTAGTTCTATCGCAATAGTACCCAGTGTCTCTCGGACAACTCTTCTGGGCCTGGTGACCTGTCGTGTACAGGTGTAGCCCTCCCTTTCACTCGAGTAAGAAATTCATGACAGTCCTATTAAGTCAACTCTCCCCTAGCTAGTTTTCGTCAAAATAAAAAGGGTGAACCCACCACAAAAGCTCAAATTTTTACAGATGACCTTCACCTCCGAAGCCCCAGCTCTCCCCTGCCTCGCCCTTCCAATAAAAAATATATCTTCCCTAAATATTATATTTATTATAATACACTCAACAAAATTACTCGATTCTGATTGGACAAGAGGAGTTCAATTAAATCCCAAATTGTACTCTGTAGAGTCCCAATAGTCCCCTTCACTGTTCCCTGCGCTATCTTGAAAGGTAGCCGTGCCCGCTTTGCATCGAAGCGAGACGAACGGTGAGCTTGCAATGATAGACATGTGAATAATTGTCCAAGGTGTTAAAAAAAGGTCATCTTTCAAGATGTATTAATGGCGCAGGAAATTGTGAAGGGGACAATTAAGTTGCTCAATTTTATTAAGCGTATTATAAACAAAAAATCGCACAATCTTCTCGTACAATGCAGAATTTATAGATAATAATAATAATAATAACCAATTGTCCAATTTTGAAAACTTTCAAAACATCACTCGTACCTATTAACTCCGAATTGTACTCGAGATCGTGCGATTTCCTAAACAAATTAGAGCAGAGTCTCCCTTTAACTCCTAGTGACTCTGCTCGCAGGAAAATATGGTGTACGGTTAACTTGAGAAATGTATACAAATCGGTAATCGGAATATAGCATGCCGTGCGGGGTTTGGTGGAAAGAGGAAACCAGTTAAAAAAAAACCCGAATCAAGGCAGAGACCCAGTAATCATCATCAAGGTGTATCAGAAGATGTCGTGTCAGAAGACGTGAATGATTTTTTTGTTTTATTTCCATTTACCGACAGGTATTTTTTCTAAAAGAGATGTTTATAAGTCCTCTCCTTTCTCATTACTCCCCCTCCCCTTCTCGAGGGAATGTTTCAGGCTCGGTATCGTCTACTTTAATTCATTAGTTGTTTATCTAACCAGAGTAAACCAAAAAAAAAAATTAATGATATTTTTATATATTCTTAAGTAATTTAAAATACGTTTTAGCAATAACGTAGACATATTTTAGGGTATTATATTTATTAACCTCGTGAAGGCAATAGGTGGGACATCGCTATGCTATTGGACCGACCAATACGGATCGAGTGGTCCTATATCACTAATGTCCAATCAGTTGTCTCACAGAGACAAATATAACAAAGGATGCTAGAGAGTAAAGGTCACTCTCTCTATAGAAAAAAAGAAAAAGAAAAAAAAAAAGATATATTTAAAATTTCTTAGTGAATTTTACATCGGAAAACAAATTTCTATGATACTTTTTCCCTCTTAACCTGAATCGAAATATCATGGACAAGGAAGGCAGGTTAAACACGTTTATCAAAGTTAAAATCAAACAAACGATTTCTGCAAACAGCAGAAATCGCTACCAAAAGTAGTTTACTTTGMGCAGGAATTTAGATAAAACCATTAATGCGACCCTTTTTCTCTAAAGGATTAGATTCTTCAATTTCAATTATCATCATCATCTTCAGCTTGCAACATTTCTTCCAGGGTAGCTTCACATATCTTGAATGGCAGGTCCTTCCACTTTTTGAAGAGCTTTTTTTCTTTGCCATGGTTGAGCGTTGTCACGAAACTAACCATCTTCAGACATGGCCATTCTGTTTCTTCAACTTTTATGATCACTCCCCAGTCATGGTCACATTTCTTACAATAAATCTAAGGCAAAAGAGATAGAATCTTATAACTATATATTTATATATGTTAAGTGTATGCTACATCGAGTATACACTTAACATAACTTAACATAACATAACATATCACATAACTTAACATAACTTAACATATACATCTTTACCGAGTGACAAAAACACATTTCATAACTATATATTTGTTTTATTACATTGGTAAATAATTACGCAGGAAGGGGTAGGTAGGTAGGTAGGTAGGTAAGTAGGTACGTGGGTAGGTAGGTAGGTAGGTAGGTAAGTGGGTAGGTGGGTGGGTAGGTACGTGGGTAGGTAGGTAAGTAGGTAGGTGGGTAGAAAACTAGTGAAAACTAGTGTAAACTGCGTCGGTGTTTTCAGTAAAACAGTTGATAGATAGATAATTTGTAACACCGTATGGTATATAAAAATGAAACTGACGTTTCGGACGTTAGTCCTTCATCGGAGTAAACCAATGTAAAAGTGAAACTGACGTTTCGGACGTTAGTCCTTCATCGGTAGGTGGGTAGGTAGGTAGGTGGGTAGGTAGGTAGGATAGGTAGGTAGGTAGGTGGGTAGGTAGGTAGGTAGGTAGGTAGGTGGGTAGGTAGGTAGGTGGGTAGGTGGGTAGGTAGGTAGGTAGGTGGGTAGGTAGGTGGGTAGGTAGGTGGGTAGGTAGGTGGGTAGGTAGGTGGGTAGGTAGGTGGGTAGGTAGGTGGGTAGGTAGATGGGTAGGTAGGTAGGTAGGTAGGTGGGCAGGTGGGTAGGGAGGTAGGTGGGTAGGTAGGTGGGTAGGTAGGTGGGTAGGTAGATGGGTAGGTAGGTGGGTAGGTAGGTGGCCATGGTAGGTAGATAGGTAGCCAGGTAGGTAGGCAGGCAGGTAGGTAGGTAGGTAGGCAGGTAGGTAGGTAGGTAGGTAGGTAAGTAGATGTGTAGGTAGATGGGTAGGTAGGCAGGTAATTAGGTGGGGAGGCAATCAATTAATTTTGTGGAATCTCGAAATATGCAACCCAAAAACTAGTATACGATATACTGATAACCATGATTAAAAAAAAAAAAAAACGCAGGAAACTAAGTGCCTGATAAGATGAAATACCTTAGGATGGAACAATATAAGTTTAAACCATTCAAAGCCAGATAAACAAACAAAAGCTAATACTTGACTCATAATTACCTTTTTACCAAAATAAATGCCATCGAAAGTATTGGGTTTTTCGTGGGGTTTGATGGTTATCCTTTTATAAATGTCCTTGTTGATAACCACGTGATGTGMCTCTTTAAACCTACGAATGTCTTGAGCGTTACATACCACTACTTTACACTTTTTACAGAGAAATGCAACACTTTGGTCGACGACATATTTGAGTTGAGACTTCTTTTTTTCTTCATGCTCTTGCTTCTTCTTAGCAACACGTACGCTGCTGGTTTGAAGCAATTTAATCTGCAAGAAAGTAACCGCCATTAGTTCATTGATAATGATTGAAAAAGAAAGCGGACTTTTGAAACTAAAATATCCTTTACCTTTTGCAAAAATTCCTCTTTCTTCATATTCTGGGCTTCTTGTACAGCAAGTGTCATTAGCATTTCTCTATATTGGTTCCGTTTTTCATGTTCAGCTCCCCTGGACTCGGCGTGACTCAGATGTACATAACTACCTTCCTCAGCCCTTATACGACCACGTGACTGTACAAAAGATATCTCATTTCCTTTCACTCCATAGCGAATCACATAGTTACATTTAGGGATGTCCAGTCCTTCTTCAGCAACGGTTGTCGCAATGATGATGTTGACTGTGCCTTCCTTAAAACTCTGGATGACTTTTTCTTGTTGGCTTTGCGTTAACGCAGCTGTTGTAGATTTTGAAAAAGATAAAACGTTCTCTCTCATTTGCTCATTTGTTTATGTAATAACATGTCATGTATTAACCATTCCTTCGTTGTGGAAGGTAGGGAATAGCAAGTCCAGTGGAAGAGCGTAGGGTTGCATTTTAACACTACTACATCCCTCCCTAAGAAAACGATTTGAAGCGCCCTCAGTGTCATAGTAAAATAAGGCACTGGAAGATGTCACAAGCAAACTACGTTACACTTACCACCTCCAAGCAAGACCTCCGGCTTTAAAATTTTATTAAGCTCCTCAGATTCTTCCATCCATCTCTTTAGCGCGTACGCGTATTCCCTCGTACGAGTAAATAAGATCCCTATGGCTGGGCATTCCTCTCCAGCTTTTTCATGAAAACCTTTAATTTGATCCTGCAGTTTTGTGAGCAATGGATTTTTTGGCGTACCAGCTTCTTGGATGTGCTTTTCGATTCGCTCCTTCGTTTCGACGTATAATTCTTGTAAACGCCGTTCAGTTTCAGTAAACTTTGATTTGTCGAGGCTGTTGAAGTACTCGTCCAGGTAAAGAATTGCGTCTTCAATTCTGACGTTGCTGTTGATTAGCAGTGCCTCGTGATAACTATAACATAAAACAAATAAACACTATCGTTGTCATCGAAGCAAACATCATTATCACCAATATCAACAGCATCTTGATCATCGCCATCCCCAACATTAACAATATTATAACCAATACTCTTCATTATCTTCATTATCTTCACTATCACTGTAATTATTGTCATCACTATCACCATCAGCATTAACGTCATCCGCATCCGATCACCATCATTATTGTTGTCACTATCGCTAAGTACTTGTTCAGGTAAAGGATGGCGTCTTCAATTCTGACGTTGCTGTTGATTAGCAGAGCCTCGTGATAGCTACAGCATAAACATAAAACTTTTAACACAATAATACAATAGATACCATTACGTTACCGCTGAAACCACAGATGCTATCGATACAATGATGACCACCACCGCCATGACCACCACCGCCATGACCACCACCGCAATGACCAACACCGCCATGACCACCACCGCCATGACCACCACCGCCTTGACCACCATTGCCTTGACCACCACCGCCATGACCACCACC